ACCTCCTAGAATCAAATCAGGCAAAACATGTCATGAGTATGGCACTGTAGCTTCTCCAAAGGACAATGTCCTTCATGCCTTCCCTATTCCAGGCTGGGGTCTCTCAGGACAAGAAGAACTCTTAACAGAAGTAATAGGATTCCTCTTTTTGATTTATAACCCCAGGAACATGTGAGGGTGGGGTGGGGTGGGAAAAGGGTCGAGGAATAGACATACCCATTTACATGTAGTATCTACTCAAACAACTCCCTCCTCCTGAACCCCCACTTCATATTTAAAATGAAATAGATAAGACATTAAAGGGAAAAACAATGAGCCTACTGTCCTTGAAGCTACTATTAGGATGACATAATTGTGGAAGAAAATTACATGAAACAGAATAGAGCAAACTCAAATGTTTACCTGCACACACAGGCAGATTTTAACAACTTGAGAGGTAACATCATCAAAATCAGAGATAATATACATAGTGTTAATGAAAAGAAAAATCATTAAATTAGACAAATAATATTAAACCAGGAAACATTTACTAGGGCAACTGTGTGGGTCCCAGACTCTGGGCTCATCCTCAGTTGTCGGGAGGGATCAGCCATGGCAGGGCTGGGAGACCCAAATACCTAAATAACCAGAAGACCTGGGAGGCGGTGGGTCTTTGTGCAAGCAGAGCAGACGGCGCAGTGAGACGGGGCTTCTCTCTCTTCTCCAGTGTGGGCTGGCTTGTGTTCATATGCATGTGTCTTGGGAAAAGCCCTGAAAATAGATGAGGTTGAATTTCATCCCTACTTGGCAGAGAGAGAGAGCTCGGAGTCAAAATTAAACTGATTTATTTATGTGTTGTGCAGTTATCTGAGTAACTGAAACTCTCCTGCATTGTTAGTAAAAGTGGAAAATGATACAGTTGTCTTGAAAGAGAGTTAGCTATTTCTTGTAAGTTTTTAACTGTAGGACCCAGCAGTCCCATCCCTGGACATATCCCCCAAAGAAACAAGAACATAAAGTCACACAGAGGCTTGTTCACTAGTGTTTATAGCTGCTTCCTTCATAATGGTCCCAAACTGGAAACCATGTCAAAGGTACCTACAGGAGGCCAAATAAACAAATTGCAGTCTTTTTCTACTTGTCAATAAAAGGAGGAAACTACCCATACATTCAGCAATGGTGAATCTTGTAGACATTTTACTGACTGAGATTTCAATGAAATAAATTCTGGAAAATGAATCTATAATGACAGGTTAGTGATTGCCTGAGGCTGAGGTAGGGAGGGGTTGTTGCAAAGGGCAGTAGGGAATTGTGGTGGGGTGCAGGCGATGGCCTCGTTATCAATAACCTAACTGTGGAGTTGGTCACACTGGTACACGTGGTCTGTGAAATGGGTCAAACTGCTTGAGTCAAATGCTGCATTTTATCACATGTTCATCTCAAAACAGTTGATTTAGAAACAAGAGGCTCAATTTTCCTGCACATTACAATTGGTATAGTGTATCAAATCCATCCCATAGATTATTTCATTTAATAATCATAATACCATTGTCAAGTAGCTATTATTCCTCTCATTTTGCAGATAAGGGATTGTTTAGGGAGCTTCTCTCCCCAAGTCTTTCCTCCTGGGTTTCTTTTCTACCCTACTCATAATAACCAGATGTGGGGGGCAACCGCACAACAAGCAATTCTCCATGACACCAACTGGGTGCTGTACAATTTAACTTAGTCCAGGCTTTATCTCCCCTATAGTGTCAGATTCCACAATAAGGACTCAGTCCCCCTAGACAACCTCCACCTCCAAACTTGCCAATTGCAAATCCAGGTTGTAGCCAGTGATGCTGACCAGTTACAGATTGGAGGTATCCACAATTCCTTCCCCTCTGGGCTTGCTTAATTTACTAGAGCTGAGAAAAAAGTTTCTCTTACATTTCACTTCATTGGCAACAACTGTTAGGGGGAAAGGATGTCCTGAATGAACTCTGCAGATCTGGGTTTTATGGACTCCATCCCTACTCCAGTCATTGAAACTACAGCTCCCAGAAACACCAAAGGGAGGGACTGCGATGACCCACTGGCAGAACTAAGCAACCATTTTGGGACTCGAAATATATATAAGGGAGCCATGTTGAGTGGCTCTGTCTCCCTTGGCCTGGTGGCTGGTGGCTGGTCGTTTGGCTCCTGATGAGCTTTCAGTGTGCTACTGGAGTTCCAAGTCAGGGGAACTGATAGGATGCTCTAGTTAACTCATCTCTCTCTCTCTCTTTCCCTGGGTCATTCCTTTTCTTTCTCCATTGTAAATAAAGCCATTGTTGACCTTTTGTGTGTGTGTCTGCAGTACAACTGAATAGTAAGTGCCGGTGAGGACCCACAGACACCCCCAGTTCACACTGGGTTGCCCTGTGACACAACCAGACCATGAGATGCACAAGGCAAAGTGGAGGAACAGGACTTGGGGATTCTATAACCTCTCCCAGGAGCACAATTCCCTAGATCTATACTTTCACCAATCCCTTCCTTTTGAGATTTTGTGGAGGTTTTATTATGCAGATTTGACTAATCATTAACTCTCAAATTCCAAGTTTCTCATCAGCACATGAACTTTCTGGTGACAAAAGACACCCCAATCACCCAGACATTATATGGCATTTAGGAGCGCTGTGCAAGGAACAGGGGCAGGAACCAATATAGGTATTTTCTATTATTTTAAAGTAACAAAGCTCAGGGTAAACCACCCAGGTTGTGCTTGGTGTGGGTATGGTGGCCACAATGCTCATTCCCATTGTTAAAAATAGGAAAAACAGACCGAAAATGGAGTCCTTCATGACAGTCCCCATCGACTTAATATCTGCTGCAATTTCAATCTCTCCCAAAAGTGTCACCCTGAACCAATCAATCTGCACCAATGAGGAAATCTGCATGATAAAACCCTCTTGCCTTCCTCTGGAGGAAGGCAGCTTGACCTGAAATAGTCTTTTCTTTTGATAATAACCTCTTTCTGTCTATAAATACCCTCCATTTTGTGTAAGAACTTGCAGCTCCTAGACAGATGCTGCCTGATTCATGAATCATTTAATAAAGTCAATTTGATCTCTAAATGTGTGAATTTGGGGTTTTAGCACTAACAAAGAACCCCAGACAGTAGAGAGCTTTGCATGAGAACCCCTGCCTACTCTCGGGGTGCTGAGAGCGGTCCCAGTGACAAAGCAAGTGTGGGAATGACTGGCTTCCTCTGCGGGGGGTGCAGAGCTAGCTGGTGTGGGAGGAAAGGTGTAGTGTGGGAGAGAGATGCTATAGTCTGTGTCTGGGTGGAAATGCATTCCCACTTGGGGGGAGAAGATGCCACAAGCATTTCCAGGAACCACTGCTTCCTGAGGCTGGTGGAAGCCCAGTGTCTGCTCCTGGGTGGCTTAGGAAGCCTGCTCAGTCCCCCACTCTCAGTTCCATTTAACCTTCTGTTCCCTGATGCAACACCAGTGAAACCTGTACCCCAGGAGCAGGGTGTCCTCCCTAACCCCCACCCCTCTGTCCAAGGCTCCTCATTTCTCAGGTATTCAGGATCTTAGGTACCAGACAGGGCAGGTAAGAGTCAAACTTCAAAGGGAATAATGACACTAAATCCTCCTAATACCAAGGTTAATGCCTAAGCTTCAGTGAAAGGTTTTGCTGGACTCGTTATACTGAGCTCTATGGTTCAGTCCCTGCTCCCTAGGCTCAGGCAGGCTGAGGGTGGGGGAGATGGGGAAGAAATATACATGGAATTTCAGCCTCAAAGCCATGTGTTGCCCTTGGGGAGAGGTCAAACCCCTCCCAGACCACCACCCCCTCATTCCACTTACTGATTCTGCAACCCCCAGATGGAAAGCCTGGGCACCTCGCAGGGCCCTTACATCTGGAGACACAGAGCAAACAACCAAGTATAGGGTCCGGGCGGCCGCGGTTTCCAGTGAGGGTCATCAGGTTCTCTTTTGTTTGTGGGGAGTGACTCCAAGAGGTCCTGGCACGAACCAGTTCTGCACTGGGATGAAGTCATCTGAGGCTGGCACTACCCAAGAACATACTGTGATGGAGACACTGTGGGAACATGAACAAGTTTTTCCTCCTTCTCTTTTGCCTCTCAGGCTGAGGGGCTGTTTGCCCTTTCCTCTAGAGGGGCAAGGGGTGGAGGACAGAAAGATTCTTCCAGGCTTTGGCTTTGTAAGCTTAGCCTTGGGGGTGGCAGAAGGGAGAGAGCTGTGGACATAAACAGGATGTTAGGAGGGAGACACTGGGTGTGGAGAGGGGCGGGAGAGAACGGACTGTTCTTCAATCCCTACACAGTGTACCTTCATCTCTGGTCCCGGCCTAATTAGGGAGCCAGGGGACTATCTCAGGATGGGGGTCTCTGACATTCCTCAAGTGGCACTTGTGGGGGGGTCCATCTCCCTCACATCGTGCTTTCCAGGGACTCTGGGCACTCAAGCTGGACTTGCTGCTCTGATGCTTTCTATTAGGTTGTGTTCAGTGAGTAATTTCACTTTCCTGAGCTACAACTCCCTCACCTGCAAATTGGGGTTCATGGACTCTCTCCCTGGTGTGCAGTTGTGTGAGACTGGGCTGGATGACAGTGAAGCCTAATCTGGTCCACAAGCCCGTTCTTTCTTCCTTGAGAACTTCTTTTCTCTCCATCCTTTGTCTCTGTACAGGTTATATGCTTAAGGACCTCAGGGGTCTGATCTAACCCTACCCCAGCCCTCTAATCCCCCAGCAGCCACCCCCACGGGGTGACCCATATTTTCCCTCCTTTGCTCATCTGATCCTGTTGCCCGCCTGCACATTACAGGAAGGCCGGAACCTGCTTTATTCTGGTTCCTTCCCCAGATGTTGGCTGACATGCAGGAGGCCCTGGTCCATTATTTGTTTAGTAAAATCTGTCGTTTTGGGTAAGAAAGAGGAGGAGAGTGAAGAGCAAAGAAGAAATGACCAGAAGAGCAGGAGCAGCTGCCTCTGCCAGAATCAGGTGCTTCTGCCCTCACAGCGCCATGCAGATCCAGATGCTGCCCCTCATCCTCTGCTTAGCAGGTAAAAGATCTCCACCAAATCGGGCAGAGGCAAGTGGACCCACTGGTGTCCATGTCCAGGGTTTGGGTCTCAGGGAGGGTGCTTCTCTTCAAAGGCTCCCAGATTTTGAGGCTGAAGGGGACAGAATGGAAATAAACGAATGTCCAGGCTCTGTGAGAGCTGACTGGGCCCCCCCTGCTTTCTGCCTCGGCTGCTGACAGGACCCTTCTCACCTTCCCCTCCCAACCCAGGGACTCAGGATCCAGAACTTTCGCATGCTGTTCTGCACACAAAATTTTCCTCATTATTGCTTCATGTACGCCTCTAACCAACAAATATAGAAGAGCCTGTTAGGTACCACAGAGGTCCCTGACTTCCTGAGCTTCCACTCTCGTTGGGGCTAAAGACTGACAAGGAACAAGATACACCACAGAATGTGACAAATACAGAGAAGCAGGAAGCACGTGGGGATCGGTTAGGCCAAGCAGACAGGTGGTCTCTCTGAGGAAGGGAAATTGGGGCTGAGCATAAGGATGAAGGGAGGAACCATGAAGAATAAAGCCAAGGAAAGGCTCCTCAGTGCAGGGAAGAACCTGGGGAAGGCCACAGGTGTGGAGTCTGGTGTGTGAGGTGCAAACGCAAAGGCCAAAGAAGCTTCCTCCAAAACAGAGCCAGGACTGGTGGGCCTGGGGCTGAGCGAGAGACCCAAAAGTTGTACCTGGGAAGGTACAAAGTTGACACCTGGGGGTGTCCTTAGAAATCTTCTGGCTGCAGACTAGGAAGCGCACTGAGACAGCCCAGGGGAGAAGCAGGGGGAGCTCTGGGAAGCCTGCTGTCAGTCCCAGCAAAAGGATGGTGACTGGAGTGAGGGCGGCAGTGGGCGTGGAAAGAAGTGGAATGTTCAAGATTCACACTGGCCCTAGAAATGACAGGATTTGCAGTGCGAGACAGGGGGGCCTCGCAGGGACCCCTGGGTGAGGGGTGAGGTGCTGGAGCGAGCTGTGCCACTTACTGAGCTGGGTGTTCTGGAAGGATGGGCGGGTAAACCCTAGGTGCATGCAGCTTTGGGACACACCCCCAGCTCAGGCCGGTGGGATGAGGGTGAGAATCTGGGGTTTGTCAGCACACAGTGTTCAAAGTCAGGGGAGGCCATTGTGTGGGTATGGGTGTGTGGGGTGGGGAGTGGTGGGCTTTGTCAGACTGCGTACTGTGACCCATGAGATCCTAAAATCAATGTCAGTGATCTTAAAATATTCAGCAGAATTAGGTAAAAGGATATCAACATGAATGACATAACAGAAGAAAGTGATTTTTCCTGTTTTCTCCCATTGGTGCAGGGCTTCTGCAGCTTTCCTTGGCAAGTGTCCTGGACACAGGTGGGTGTCAGTGGCTTTTTTCCTGTAGGCAAGTGTCTCCTCACCCCTTTCCCCTGGCCTCCCTCCATGCCCTCTTGCACACTTCTGTCACTCTATGTGCCCCATTCTTCAGTCTTATTTTCCTCTCCTCGCAAATCTGGCATCTAGTTTTTCAAATTCTGGGATCCTTCAAGTTCCTGGCTCTAAACCTGTATTCCCCTCCACTTCTCACCTTCCCACCCTGAGGCACAGGCAGAAGAGCAGCTGTTGACAGCCTGGCTTTGCTCACAGGGGGAATGAGTGGAGGGAGGGAGAGAGGAAGGAAGCATTGAGAATCTAGGTCTTAGGTTGGTTCCTGGGAGGTTTGATTTATTCATCAGTCCATTCATTCATCATTCATTTTCAGCACATGGAGCTTTTTGCCATGCTGAGCACTGGAATATAATGATGAATAAGGCTGGTTCTTCACTCCCTTGTTGCCTAGAACTGGTAATAGAGACAGACAAGCATAAAGGTCCTTTCCCTAGGTTTTTTAAAAATACTGAAATCTAGTCCCAGTCACAGAGACTCAGGTCATGACGTGGGGTGAACCTGGGGATAGGTGTGTGAATAACTAACATGCAGCCTGAGTGCCTGACCCCTCCATCAGGGAGGGCCGTTTCATGCTGGTGAAGGGCCAGAGCCTGGGAGCCCTACCCAGGGTCTTTGGGTCCTGCCCATAGTCATTTGATTCTCTGCGAATCCGTTTCTCTCTTTGTTAAACAGGTTTAGTGATCCCTCTCCTAGAAAGTTATGGAAGGATTTGATGAGCACAGCATAGCACAAGTGCTCAGTAAAGACCATCTATTGCTATTCAGCACTAACAAAGGTACAAATAAGAAGGCACCCGCACAGGATGGTCAAAGGGGTGAGGAGTTAGATGGGCAAAGGGGAGAGAGAAATGAGAGTATGAAAAACAGGGGACTGGGGAAGGGCGGACAGGATTATCATTCCTTCGAGGCCAAAAGAGCAGCATATGCAAAGGTCCAGAGGCTGAGGAGTGTGAATACAGGTGCTGGCAGGAGGACTAGTTTGGGGCAGAGAAGTTGGGCAGCCAGTGACAGTGCAACAATCACCCCATTCCAGCCCTGAAGCTGATAAGCAATGGCAAGACCTTCCAGAGGATTAAGCAGGAGCTGAGCTGGCGGGATGCCCTGCGGTATTGCCAGCTGTACTACACAGACCTGGCCGACCTGCAGAGCATGGGCAGCGTGAGCAGCATAAAGGAACTCTACTCCCTCACCAGCAGCACCGAAGCGTGGATCGGCCTCTACTTTGATGTGAACATCAAGGGTCTTGTCTGGTCCAGCGGCTCTGTCTTCACTCCGCTGGAATGGAGCTCCACGCCTGTCTTCAAGGAGGGCATCTGTGCCACTTTGTACGCCACCTTGGAACTTTTTCCCACCCTGGGGGCTGCCTCATGCACGGCACAGAAGCCTTTCCTCTGCTATTATGGTGTGTTCAGTGTTCAGGGTCACTTGGCCTGCCCTGTCCTCCAGGGTTACTTTTCCAGAGCAAAAAAAGAGGGGGAGACAGAGAGTGCGCGGGAGGAAGGGAAGAGGGGAGGAGGGAGGCGAAGGAAGCCAAGCCTCTCCAGGGTTCTAGGTGCAGGCTGGCTCCAGCCTCACACCAACCATGTGCCTCTGTTTAACAGACTCCTCTGTGGGACACCGCCTCACCACGAAGCCCGCTCTCGGCCTGACCACCTCTCCGAAGGCAGGTACCCGCCTAGACGCTCCCTCTGACTTGTCCACCTAGATGCGCTGGGAATGTTAAGGGGAAGGATGTCCTAAAGGAACTCTGCAGAGTCTTATGGACTCCATCCCCTACTCCAGCTTTCTGGACTCTACCCCCTACTCCAGTGATTGGAAACTACAATTCCCAGCAGTACCAGGGAGAGAACTGCGAGGACCCAGGGGTGGAGCTAGCAGGAATTCTGGGACATTTGGGAGGATAAATAGGGCACGATTGCATCTCACGCTCTCTGGCTCTCTCGCTTGAAAAGCAACTCTCTGGACCGCGTGACTTGGTGTGTTCAGTCAGCCTAGCTGTAAGGTATTCCACTTACTTTATATTCTGCTCTCTTTCCCTGGGCTGTTTCCTATTCCTTTCCCCTTTTGAAAATAAACCCGTTATTGACCCTTTTGTATGTACCTGCAGTGTAACTAAATTGTGAGCGAGGGGGTGAGGCCCCACAGACAGGCGGCCCAGTCCACTCTGGGCTACCCTGTAACAGGAAGGCCTCAGCTGCTTTGTGCCCTCAGCCCTCCCTTTGCTCCATTCACAGCTGCCTGCCTGAGGGAAACCCTGGCTTTGCCCCTTAGGCGGAATCCACTGAGAGGATCAAAGTTTTTGTTATTCAGATGAACCCAGAGGCTGAGCTACAGAGCCTGGCCCAGCTCTTCCAAAGCAACTCCCCACCCCCAGCCTCAGTGGCTGATGGGAGAACAGCTCGGCCAAGCCATCTGGTGAGGGGGATTTCTCCCTCTGGTTATCACTGCCCTGGTATTTAAAACATTTTTGTTTTTTCCTGTCTAGCATAGAGAAATTCTATGACAAAAGAAATACACTTCTCCATCAAGGTGCTTGTGAAGAGGTATTCTGCATGCACAGAATATGGATGAGGGACTTGCAGAGCGACAGTGACATAGGTCTCCAAGGAGCCAGACTGCCTTTGTCTTACACTTAGCAAGGCATCACCTCCCATAGCCCCATTTTTCTCTCTGTAAACTGAAGTCACTATCATCTACATCTCAGGATTATAGTGAGGTTCTCAAAAGATGCAGAGGCCAGGCCTGGAACATGCTTCAAGGGAAAGGAAACCATTCATTTAGATAGGGAAAGCATTAACGGAAATGGCAGGCAAATCACACCCGGCTTAGGTGAACATGTGGGTGGGTCAGTGTTGGGTATTATTTGAATCTGAGCTGTGACTCCCAAGTCTGCAAACAGGAGTGTTTCCTTTTCCAGGGCTCTGGTATCAAGCCCTCAGGTCTTGCCAAAGCACTTTCTAGCTTTGTTGGCTACACTCACAGGTGGTGGGTGTGGGCACCTCAGATAGAACAATCTAGAAAGGGGAGGAGGAGGGCAAGTGGTCCAGTCCAGTCCCTGCAGGGTCAGAGATAAACTGTGGGGATGGCATTGTGGGCTGCTGGGGCAGTGGGGACTGGCTGTGGGTCCCCTCTTCAGTAGGAAGGCTCTGTCCGTTGCTAGATTCACCTCTTCTCCCAGGCTCTCCTGTGGTGTTATAAGGAACACCACAGCATCCTTTCTTCTGCCTCAGCCCTGAAACTTCCTGAGAGCCAGTTGGGCAGGCACAATCCTGGAACTTACAAATGAGCTTGACTCCAAACCAGGATGTCTTAAGCCCCTGATCATCTCCCTCCAAAGAGCAACCACCACTTTATTGACTGTTTAGCTTTTGTGTGGTTTGTCCTAAGCATTATAAAGACATGTCTACTTTTAATCCTTACATCCCATTGTACAGATGAAGAAACTGAGATTTCAACTTAACTAGTAAGGCCATTGAGTCATGAAGAGCTCTTAACCCCTGCTTTTCCTAGTGTTCTGCCCCACCACTGCTGTTATGATAGCTATCCTTACTCTGGTATTTAGTCCACCTATCAAATTTTGGGTTTGATTAAGCCTCGTGTTTTGAAAGCAGCAGGGTCAGATCAGAGCTCTGTCCCAGGACAGTGAGGGCTGCATAGAAGAGACCAGGGCCCCAGGCCTGTTCTGTATCTTTCTCCCCAGCTGTGGTCCAGATCAATGGAGAGACCTTCATACGATTTGACCAAGAAAAGACATGGATGGAGGCGCTGCAGTACTGCCGCAGCCACCACACCGACCTGGCTGACCTGCAGAGGGTGACTGACGAGGCGGGCCAGGAGGCCTTGAAGTCTATCACCACCAAGAACCAGGCCTGGATTGGCCTCTATTTCAATGCAGACTCAGAGTTGCTGAGCTGGTCCAGTGACCTGGGTGACAGCATCCCCGACTGGCTGCAGGTGCCCCAGATGGGGGCAGGGCTGTGTGCGGGGCTTGGCATCTTTGCCCGCTATCCACCCCGAGTTTATTCAGAGGTCTGCTTCTCCCAGAGACCCTTCATCTGCTTCTATGGTACGTGACAGGTGGCTCCCTCCGGCTCAGCTAGCGAAGTCAGAAGGGATGGGGAATGCATTTGGCAATAGGAGACGCTGGGGCTAGACTTTTGAAAGTCCTTGCAAAATCTGAGGGAGGGATCTGAGTCTCCTGCTACCTTTAAGAAAATCCTCAAGGAATGGAGCATAGTCCATCCAGCCTTAGGGCATCAGCGATTAGCCACAATTACTTACTGGTTAAAACCATGGGTTTTGTCATCAGGAAACCCTTCTGAAGTAAGATGGACAGTGGCTCAGCCTCTTATTCCTCATCTGAACAGTTAATAAGTGGATTGATGACACCTGCCTCATAGGATGGCTTTGGAGACAGAATGAAAGAATGGATAGACTAGACCCAGTAGAACTATGGCACCGAATTAGCATGCGGCAGTTACTAGCCATTGCTCTTGCCCTTGTCACTGTGAACGCATGGGGAACAGGGGCCTACCTGCTTATTCAGGATCTAGGGTGACGTCTCCTCAGCACCAGGCCTCATCCTGTCTTGCCCTCGCCTTTTCTCTTCTTTCTTCCTTCTGTTGGGGGCAAAGGAAACCACCCCCTGCCTCTCTGGGTTCTTCATGAGTAATCAAAACAGTATCAGATGGGTTAGCAAAGGAAAAAATCAACAACACACGTGTGGAGACTTTAAGTGGTTTTAAATTCTAAGGCATAATGGAGTGGACAGGGCATTTTGATCCTTTGTTTAGGGGCCTGAGGCAACAAGGACAGAGACAGAGAGACTTCACATAGTGGACTGGGAGGGGGTGACCTCATCCTTACTCAGACATGAAAACGAATTCTCAGAGGGAGAGAACATGTTACTGACAAGCTTGCACCTGGATGAGGAGCCTCATATATGTCCCGCCCCACCCCTCAATCTTCCAGGTCAGGAAAGCAGGATTAGTGATTGCCTCTCCAATTAGGAAAAGGACAAAAGTTTAGGACAGAGATCTCTTTTACAATTATCAATGGGCAAGGGCTGCAGGCGAGGGCAGCACAGCTTCTCCTAGCTTTCAGGCCCTCACTGCTCTCAATTCAAAACAACCTGCATTCTTGCATAGGTCTGCAGAGGCTCCCAGGCCTTGACGGAACTCTAGTTCTCATACCAAGGCTATGAGAGCCCTGCTCTGGATTCACTGAGCAAAGCCTCTCTCACCCTATTGGGCAGACCCTACACTTTCCTCCCTCTCTCTCCCCCTTTTCTTCTTTCTCTTTTGTAATATCCTTATTGATATTACTCACATACCTTAAAATTCATTCTTTTGAAGTGTCCAATTCCATGGGGTTCAGTAAATTCTTGAAGTTGTACAAGAATCATTACTATCTAATTTTAAGACGTTTTTATCACCCCCCAAAGAAACTCCTTACCTATTAGCCGTCATTCTGAATTCTTCCCAGCCTCAGCTCTTGCAATGCTAATCTACCTCCTGTCTCTGTGGGTTTGCCTATTCTTGGCTGTTTCTTTTTGTATTTTGAATTTGATGAGAATCATGATCTTTATCTGTAAAGTAGGAAAGATCAATGGATCCTCCCAGAAGAGCTGCTGTAAAGATTAAAGGTGTTGGATAATTGTGCTCTCTTGAGTTTTGTTACTGTGTTGGGAGGGGCTGGTCCATCAGTGCCTGGCGGGGCTTCTCACAGGCCTGCTGGACATGAGGAACTGGGGGTGCAGTGTGTTTTCCACCCACCCTGTCTCACACTTGCTCTTGCATTTCTTTGCAGATGAGTCCATTGGACACCGGGCGTGGGCAGAGCTCCCTCTGCTCTTTCTCACTCACTCCTCAGACATAATTAAAGAGACAACACCCAGGCCAAGTATACCACCATTTTCTGCTGTCTGAGTGACCTAAACCTGTTCTTGCCTGGACTCTGGGGTATCCCGGGCATGGGAAGTGGAGAGTGTGGCCTGTCTGTGGCCACCCAGGGTGGGCCCATGAGCTCCTCAAAGAAGGGCCAGTGGTAGGCCAGGAAGCTGGCAGCAACCAAAGGTCATTTGTGTGTTCCCCGGCTGTGTGAGGTGGGTTTGGGAGTAGGGAGGGCTAGACCACCTCAAACCCATCCTGAAGTTGGGCCACCAAGCTTACAGCTCCAGGACAGGGAGAGCTGAGAGGGGCTGTGTTGGGTGAGGTGCTGAGGTCCTGGCCTCGGAGGCAGATGGTTGAATGCTGAGCAGTACTCTGAGGAAAAGTGTGGAGAGCAAGCTTGAATTTGGACACCCAGAGAGGGAGGCACAGTAGAGCTGCCTGTCAAATCCCTCCTAATTCTGAGTTCCTCCGGGAGGAGAGATGGATGATTGCTGAGATGATGTGCGGGGACCTGCCTGGGAATGGCAGTGCTACCCTCTCTTTAGCATTTCTGAATTCCTGAAACATCTTCACAGCTATTCCTCATTTTGCTTCCCGAGTTCCGAAGCTTAGTAGGATAACTGAGGGCAAAATCACAGGTCTTCTGGCTTCTTTACATCAGTCAAAGGTATTATGGTCCTTTTTCCGAGGACACAGATAAGTCAGGGGACTTGCTTATAGTCTTCCAGAGCTTCCTTTACCCTGGGGACACAAAGAAGAGAAAGGGCAAGTTCTGCAAATCACCTGGTCCCCTGGGAAGAAGGCTTTTGACAGGTGGCATTTAGTGTGGTGGGAGGCACCGTGGGGTCACTGAGGAGGGGAGGAGACCCAGCTCCTGTAACTATGGCAGGATTTCCTACAGGTGTGTTTGTATAAAGAGGTGGGGCTAGCTTCCAAAGGGTAAGGACGGGTGCTTTGCTGACCCAGGAGATCCAGATTCTGTGGGTGGGGGTGGGGGAGTGAGTGTTGTGCTAAGAAAGGTGGTCTTCACCCAAAGGTAAGAAGAGTGTCATGATGGCAGCGATGGGAGGGTGGGGGTCCTGCCTTCAGGGAGGGGTAAGAGGGGTAGGAACTTGCCTTCAGCTTCCTGTCTCAGGTCTAAGATTCAATCTGGCACGGGCTTGGCTGTCCCAGATCTGCAAGCCTCCCAGGTGGTATCTAGTGGGCTCATTAGGGGGTCCCTGCACCCCACTGTCTGCCATGGAATAAAGGGTCGGGATGTGGAGGAGCCCAAGGTTGCCGCGGGCGCGGGAGCCACAGTCGGGTGCAGGGCTTCCCTTTTGCTCTGCGCGGGCGAGTCTTGGGATCCCGGCCACAGGCTTTGCACGTGGGTGGGCCGTGGGTCACTATCCGTGGACATCCTGGCGCTGCAGTGAGGTTCTGCCCCAACTCTGGTGCTGCGGCCGCCCAGAAGCCTGTCTCCTGCTGTAGGGCCTGGCGCCAGTCCGGCGGAAGACTCGCAGGACCCCGCTTCTGAGAGGCCGATCCCGCTGCGACTCAGCCCGGAGCCCGCTGACCCCAGAGCACCCGGTGCCTTCACCGACCCCACTGCCCTGAGTCCTCTGGCCCAAAGCGAGGTCCCAGGGGCCGCCTTGACCCCCGAGTTCGGGCCCTCGACCCCGCTGGTACTGAGCAAGATCGTGGTATTCAGTCCCAGGACCCGGGCCACTCCCACCACGAGTCCCACGACCCCAGAGGACCTCTCTGATCTCCAAGAAGAGACAGGGACCCCTCTGGCCTCCGCCTGGAGCCCAGCGGCAGTCCCTTTGTCCCTGGGACGCCCGGTTACGCAGAGCAGGCCGGGGACTACAAGGGAGGCTGCCTTGAACCTCTTGATCGGTTCAACTCACAGAGCTTCGGCAACCCCAGCCGGCACATCTAGCGGGGCCCACAGCTCTACCCCTCTGTGGGTGGAAGAGCGAACCTCGGAGTTTTCCAGTCCAAGGAGTTCCGCTGCGCCCCAAAGGACAACCACGAACCCTGAGTTGGCAACAGGGAGCACGGAGTCCTCTGGGAGCTGGCCAGGGCCAGAAACAGGTGCGAGCTCGAGACCTAGGGGTGGGGATCCGCTCTGGCCTGTTCCTGAAGCCATCACTCTTTGTGGGAAACCAAGGCCCAATTCCAAGCTCAGGCCATAGGCAGGGGAGGCTGAGAGCCCAGGTGTACTGCATGGCCCTTAGCCCCCTGTTCTGGCCGCATTCCAGTCCAGTCTGTAGTGCGGCTTGTCTGGCCAGAGCTAGTGCATCCTCTACTCTCCCTGGGTAATACTTTAGGATGGGCTGATCTAAGGAAGCAGCACTCTGATTTGGCTGCAGGAGTCTCACAGCCAAGGGTTTGAATGCTGTCTCTTACAGTGTACCCGTAGCCAGACTTCTTGAAACTTAATTTTTCTCACCTTTAAAATGAAGAAAAATACCAAGTCAGTGTCTGGCAGCTGGCAGACACTCAGTACTTACTAACATTCTAATCTGAATTCCTTAGTGAGATGTTTAGTGATTCATTCTGCCTCCTGCCTCCGTCCTTACCTTATTCAACAGACACGGCTGGCCTCATTCTCCTTCTCTTTATTAATTATAATGGTTATGAATGATCACAACTGGAGTCCCCACTTACAGGGTGGGGACTGTTTTACGCCTCTGCATTTTCCCCAGGCCTAAAATAGTGTTTGGCACATTGGTGGTTGATTATATTCATCAATCCTGAGTAAATTTTGTACCATGCATTTAACTATGGATATGAAGCTGCACAGAACTTGTTTCCTGTTCTTAAAAAGAGCTGAGTATAAGGATGAACAGAGACAGCCAAAACAGTGCAGTAAATGCTGTAGTAGGCGAGAGAACCAAGAGCCCTAATGAGACAGTGAATCATTCATTCTAGCCGAGAAGGTGGCAGTTCACTGGGTAAGAGGTAATGAAGTACTGCATCTGATGGCAAAATCAAAAGGGCCTCCTGGCAGAGGGAACAGCTTATGCATAGACAAGCAGAAGGAGTGTGGTTTGGGAATGGTAAGCAGTCTGATGTGATTGGTGTTTAGGTCACCTATGGGGGAAAGCAATGGCAGGAAATGGGGGAAAGCGTAGATGAGGCAGGTTCTGAGGGATTTGCTCTTAAAGTCAGTGGAACCACCTGCAGTGTTTGGCAAGTGAGCAAATGATCAGATGTGTAGTTTCTAGCAACAAGTTGGTCATGAGCTGGGTCACTGCTTGTATTAGAATGCTACAAGGAAAAAGCACCATTCAACATTATACATAATGTACATGTAATATAATCAGACTGTATTGAAAGAAAAGATGATCAGGCAAGAAACATGTGAGATGTAGCAGTGATCTGACATTCAGGTGATGAGATGTTGTTCCTGGATTTACAGATTTACTCATTCATTTATGCTGCTCTGGGTGAGGAAAGAAGAGGGTATTTAGAGATGGGCCAGGCAGGAAGTTGAGACAGGAAGTTATGTGTGGGGACAGACAGTGTACAGGCTGCCAGAGAGGAAATATGACCCACCTGAGGCAGTGATGCGAAGAGGGAGGTGAGGGAATTGATTGTACAACATTTGCAAGTGACATTATTTGAATAGAAATACAAACACAATTTTAAAATGCTTTTCTTTGTTGAATCACAGAAATGCCCAGCAAGATTTTTTTTTTTTCCAATTTGTCTACTTACCAGTTTGGCAAAGAAAGGGCGAGACTTCTGATGAGAATGTGGGGAAATCAGTGATCAGTCTTGACAGGAGAAGGACCTGGAGCCACCACTCTGGAAAGGCATGTTAGTTCTGACAAGTGCACACCCTCACAGACACAGATTCCATCCTTGGAAGTTTATCAAGGAGATAATAGCACAGGCACACATGTACATGCACCTCCACACACTTACACTGGCGTGGTGCAGCACTGTTTATTATAGTGAATGATATGCAGTCAAAGCTGGTGGTTATAAGTTACAGTACATACGATGACACACTGTGCAGGGAGAATAAGGTAGGTCTTTATGCATTCACATGAAAATTCCTATGTGAAGGGCTTCCTATAGCAAACTGTCAATAGTGGTTGTCATCCCTGGGTCAAGGAAGGTGATACTTTTGCTTATTTTACAGTACAACACCCTCCCAAAATTGTTATTTTTCTTTGGGAAAAAAGGCATCTGCAAGGCACTGACAGGGCTTTGGTGATTGAATGTGAGAGTGAGAGGGGCAAAGGGATCCTAGTTGGTGATACTTGGAGCTTCAGCAGATGGTCTGCCAGGCAGGGTAGAGGACAGTGCTGGGGGAGGCTGAAACTGGTTTTGGAATACTTTTTTGAGTCTGAGGTGCTATCGTTTGGTGGAGATGTTGGGGTCCCTGGGTGTCCCTGGGTTTATGTAGCTGGCAGACAACATATGGCATTGGGTCTTTCGTAGTAAGACTGAAAGAAAACTTCTGGTTCTGAGGAGAAATGACACTAGTATTGGCCAAACCCCACACCTCCTGCTCTAGATGGCTGGGAATAAGCGTGAGGGAGCACGTCATGGAAGACAGGAAAGGAAGAGCTTCCCACACTGGAAGCTTCCTCTAGTCACTCTGAGTATGGCACAGGCTGCCTGTGTGGGTCTTCACAAAACTCAGGCCTCCTTGCTCCCAGTTGTGTTTGAAACAACACCTTTGTTTTTCTCTCCTGTAGCTGTAACCAGTGCAGCTAGCAACTCCAATAGAAAAACTACAGTTTCAGTCACTCAGGCCCAACATGTGAGCCCATGTGAAGGCCCCGAGTCTGAAGACAAAGCTCCAGAACCAGAATCAGGTAACTGCTTCTGGTTACCAAGTTCCCACTCTTAACCACCTAGAAGTTATTCTGGACAGCCACTCTTTAGCATGGTTACCCGAAACAGTTTCAGGAAGAAGGAAGGAAATGTTGGGAGGCAAGGATGAGGACCCCCCAGTGTTGGCTCCCTGTCCATTGTGAAGCTTGGAGAGAAAATTGCTTCACTTCATAATTTCCCTTTATTTATCTGCCAAGAGGAAGAGTCAGAACAATGTGGCCTACCTTATAGGGTTGTTGCAGGCACCCCGTGAGATGATTAGATGAAGGTACTTAATCAGCATTAACATGCTGTACAAATAAATACAAAGTCGCCCTGCTTGAGGCTCTAGTTCCTGTGATGATCAGAGTGGCTTCCAGCTGAAGGTGAGCTTGTCCATAGGTGCTGAGAACTTAGTGAGTTTTCTATGGTACAGTTGGCCTTTAGAAATGTGGGCCCAGGGAGAGATGAATATTTTCAGCATGGGGAGATACATCTATTTAATAGAATAAAAGGAGAGAGGGAAATACAGGAGCCAGAAAAGAATTGCTTGTGGGAGGCAGGATGTGGGAGGAGAGCCAGTGTGACCGGCTTGAGACTTATTTCAGCCCTGGTTGGCTGGTCCTAATCATGGCTCAATATTTTCTTCTTCAGCAGTTTCTTTTTTTTTTTTTTTCCTTTTTGAAACCCTAATTTACCATATTGCATCTGAGTCAGGTACACTTCCTTTTTCAGGGCAACACTTTGGAGTCCTGAAAGCAGATTTTAACATCCCAGCTTTGACTGACCCAGAAGAGATGAAAGACCAGTTTTTGAGTGAGGTGAAATTTCTGCTCACTTCTCATTTTGATCAGTCAGAAGGCTTGACAGTGCAAGGCAGGCCTGCCAGAACCAATGTATTTAGAGAAGAAGTTTTGAAAAATGAGCTCATCTGTTTCCACGGCCATTACTTTGGCTCATTGGTAATAGGTCGACTTATGTGCCAAGATCTTTTCCAATCTTTTCTTATTTTTTCCAGAGCTCTCAGCACAGTCAAAAAGACCTAATTTGCATTTTGCCTTTGTACTTAGTTGCGTGACCTTGGGCAAGAAACTCTTTTTCTGAGCTTTAGTTTCCTCATGAATTAGAACAATACCTAACTCACATGGTTGGTATGATTAAATCAAGTAGTCTTTAAAAAGTACTTAGCAAATTGTCTGGCCCAGAATAAGTGCTCAATTAATGATAACCAGTAGCTGTTATAATTCTGAATATTCATATATTACTGACCTTATTTCCCTGTTCTTTTAAAATATTGTGGGATGGGAGATTGTGAGGAACTGTCTCTAAATATTGTGTTAAAGCCCCAAGCTGATTTTTGATTATGGCCTCAGTAATTTATTAGATAATCTAAGACCTCAGAGCTAGAGAGTTCTCTATAGGTCATGAAGCCAAATTCATAATTTTATAGATAAGGAAAACAGATCTGCATTTGATAATGTATTGTAGTTTACTCATAGGCAAAACGAGTAGCATCCAGGCAATTTGTTTTAAAATCTCACAAACTCAGGGTCCAAAAAGAATGCTGTATGTGTGTGTGTGTGTGCGTGTGCACATGTGTGTGTATATTACAACTATAAGCACACACGCATGAGCACTCACGCCTGTTTGGGTGTGGCCAGGGGAACTGGAGAGCTTTCTGGTGCATTGTGCTATTGAAGGAAGAACAGATACAAATGAGACAATACAGTATCCAAATTGATTGGGACATTTTAAAGAAAAATGATTAGGACATTTTTAAGAAAAATTTCAAGCAGTAAGATTGTAATGGGAAGTATTAGGCCTATGGAGGTCCCAGGAGAGAAACAAAATCAGAAACCAGCTATTTTCTTTTTACATTAAAGCCAATTTTGGAAAAATTGGGGTCATAATGGGCAATCCCATCTCTAGTTACCTTTTGGAATATAGATCTAGCCTATATTAATGGAAGAATTTCTCTCAAAGATTTAAAGATGGAATTGATGGGGACATGCATACATGTGTGTGTGTGGGGGAGGTACAGTACATACTATCACTTTTAGTGACATTTTAAAGGGTAGGCAACACCTATTGATAACTTATCCCAGCTCCAGGGACAGAGACAGAGAAAACACTGTATAGATACTGGATTTTGATTTTGATACTGGATTCAGTTAAGCCTGACTGAAGTTAGATGCTTCTGGAGAAATTAAAAAAAAGAAAAAAAAAAGGCCTTGCCTATTTTTAGAGTCTCTACTTAACTGTTGTGTGGTGGTGTTCTAAGAGGCACCATCCCCCCTCCCTTTTTTTTAAAGATTTATTTATTTATGCTTACAGAACTGGGGTATAGGTCAGAGGTATAGGGGTAGTGAGAGGCTTTACCAGAGGAGTGGGGAGCAGGACAGGCAGACCTACTTAAATACACTGCTGAGGGGAATAGGGCGGGTCAGTAGAGGTTTGCTACTACATATGGGTCAGCTCCCTGCCTGGGGGTCGAACTTGTGCTGTAGTGGCTTCAGAGAGCTTCATAGTGCAGTGCTTTAACCCGTTGTGCCACCAGGGAGAGCCCATACTCTTTTTTTTTTTTTTTTTAGAAGTTCTCAAATGATTCAGTGATCCTGGTCAACAGTAAAGACAGAGAATCACCCAGCAGATCTTTTTTTTTGTCTCCTCTGTCATCTTCTTTTGCTACCACAGGTGGAGGTGGTATCCTACCACCATTCATTTATGTACTTTTTCCATTGGTGAAGGTGCTAAAAATCATGCTTAGTGAGATAAGCCAGAAAGAGAAAGAAAAATACCGGATGGTTTCACTCATAGCAGGAGTATAATGGACCAGGCGAGAAAATAACAAAAATAATGAACAACCATATACCAGAAACATTTTGTGGGGGTGGAGTGGGGAATGGGATCAAAAATGGGGGGGGAGAGGGAAATGCACGGAATTATGGTGATGGCACACGGGTGACTTGGTGATGGGAAACCCGCGGGGATTACAATTGAGATGGAAAAAAAAATTACAAAATGATGTAAAAATAAACTTTTGTAATAAAAAAAAAACTAGGCAGTTGGAGAAAGGGTAAGAAAAATAAATAGTATGGCTAGACATAAAGGATATACAGGTAGACTGGGGTTAGACCCTAAGTTACTATCAACTCTTTTTGAGTTTCTCTCTTTTTGACCTTTCAGATCCAAGAAGCCTTAAAGTTTACCTTAGGTCACCAGCAATTTAACCTAAAATGGGTCGGCATTGAGATAAACAAAAAAGAGAACTGATTGGAGTTCCCTTCTCACATAACCTTCACTGGATTTTGAGTGAATTTTAGCTTTTTAACTGCTGGTAGAATAGAAGTAGAAATAATTCCAATATGTGAAGAGACTGATGAAATTTCAGATCCTAGCCCAGTGCAAAAGAAAACTACATATGGAACCTGATTTCCTAAGATGAAAAAGTAAAGCAGGAGAAGATGGGATATTTGGGAATAGTTACCTTGACCAGCAAGAACAAAACCTCATTCAAAGAACAAGAATGCTGCAACAAACCCCGCTGCTCCACCTGGGGGAACTGAGGGAGGACAACAGTGGCTGGGAAGCTAGATGGGGCTGTACAGAAGTAATAAACTGGGGGACACTTTCTTTACCAGCCACTAGTTATTAAAGAGATTTCAAGTTCTCTAGAATGAGTTCTTTAAGGGTGTTACCACAGCAAATATATGCCAGTTATTTGTCCTACCTCTGTTTTTTCCCTCTAAGTTTGGGAACTCAAAGACACGTTGCTCTTAAACTGTGTCTTCAGGATGATTTTCCTGTATGCATTTTTGTTTCTGCTTTTTCTCTAAGCATCCTAATCACCCAGATAGATGTGAGAAAATAGTAATATGTCAAATACAGTAGCAACTTTAGTCTGAAATGTTTAAAGTTAAAGTTTATTTGTATTCTTTGTAGGAATATCAATAAAAGACCTCAAACATTATCTGTATCTGTACATGTACAAGAACCGTCAAAAATTATTCACAGAACAAAAATAAATCTTCTTTAGAACAAACCCAGGTAATGAAATGCAGATATGGGTCTCACTTATGGAGCAATCTAAGTGCTACTAGCACAAAAATATGGCTTTAAAAATAAAATCAAATCTTGGGTTTTGTTTTTCTAAGGTGTATTTCTCTTTCATGAAATAAAAAATAAATTATTTAGAGCTATCATTGTAAAATAGTCATGTGTATTAACACACTCTCATTAAGGCCCTGGAGATGGAAAAAAAAAAATCAAATTTAGAAGGTAAATTCCTCAAAGGTGTGACTCAGGTTAATGTGCCGCTGTCAGTTTGAGTTAATTTTAATGTAACTACGAAATGTCTAAGCACCAGTCAACATTTAACCTTTCCTATTTATATCAATTTGCTGTGGGATAGTAGTCACTGAATTAATAAGTATTTTAAATTTCTGGTAAACTGGGAATTGAAATTTTTCCCTTGGGAGTTTAGAAATGACATAAATATGATATTTATACATAAATATTTGTACCCCCACTAGATTTTGGAGGCCTCTAAAACACAGCTTCTGTAGAAGTCTCCCTACAATAACAGATAAATCTGGTTTCAAGTCCCAAATTAAAAAATTCCCTTGGGAAGAACAAAGACATTTGAATGAAAAACAAGAACTGAGTAGGAAGTTAAGTTAAACGCCTGCTGAGATGTGGACAGAAGCCACTCACCACTCTGCTTTCTCCTTGGGTGCTTCACCATATTGCCAAATCTGCTGGGTTGGTACCTGAGGATGACCTGATCAGAAACCAACGCTACTTCTTTCTGGATCCTACTCTCAGATCAGTGATATTCAACTTTCTGTGACCCCTCCATGGTATCTAACGATATCTGGGGGTTTGAAACAATGTCAAACCAAACCAATTTCAAGTCATCTTAACTTATATATACATATAACACATATGGTACATTTTAAAGAAGAAAGAATGACTGTAATAAAATCTAAAAAATGAGAGCCTAAAATCTAAAATACTCAAGAAAATTTGGGAATCACCACTCTAATAAACTGAATTAACAGTCAGAAAAAGGAAGCTCCAGGAATCATGAGTTTTGTGTGGGTGTGCACGTGCTGTCCACAGATACTTTTCATATGTACCCATATGCACTTTAAGAGTGGGCAAAGGACATATATCTTCCTGTTTCCTCAAACCTCTGAGCCACAGAGAAGTGCTGCTATATATTAGTCTCCTTTTGGATCAAGCATCTTCACCATGTTCTTTTACTCCTCAGACGATATTTATTTTATCTCATGCAAATTGCCTCACTTTGTCCTTCCTAAACTCAAGAGCATCCATAACTGGGTCATGGCAACAAGAGAATGCTTCTAGAACTAATAACAATCACTCAAACATGAAAAGTGATTCTATTTAAAAATTCAATACTTTAACTTGATATCTGGCTTAAAAAAAAACCAAAACACCGAAACATCAATCTAGTAAAATAGGTCCTCTCGACAGACATGTTGATAAAAACAAAAGTGTCCCAAATTCTTGACCCCCAAGTAAGGGGCTGGGAGGGCAACTATTTGCTGCTGAGGCAATCAAAGAGTTTTCACTACCGGACTGGGAAAAGTGGAAATGAATGGAGAAGAAAGGCCTTTTGGCTTTCCACAATCTGTAGGAGAAGGTGTTCTCAACAGGTGTAGTTGGAAATGCTGTGAAGCTGTGGTATGGGCTCTGGAGCTGCTAAGTCAGGCCCAAGGTACAAGTCTAGTCTGGAGTCAAGCCTGCGGCTCAGGGTCACAGAGGATTTATGTAATTCTCGATAGTACAGTCCCACAACCATCTTCTCTGGTATTCCAAACTTATCTGTACCTCAATCTAGATGGAAAGCAAAAGAAGTACTAATACAAACTCAATTGCTGGCAGTGGTCTTGGACTTTCAAACCGTACTGCGCCCACTCCAGTACACCTGGGAGGATGGTGAGAGCCAAGTGTCAGAGAACTACAGATTCAGAAATAGGCAGACTAAAATCTGAAAAGCTTTACATCAGAGTCAAGGGAATTCTCAAGGTATAGAGCAGTTGAAGACAAGAAATTTAACTTTATTCTTCACTGTCCAATACCATCACAATGGAAGGTGGGAACAGACCAGAGAAAGGTAATTCTGACCAACTTGATACCATCTTGAAAAAAAGCAAAAAAGTCATAGCAGCCTAATTGCTTTATTTTACTACTCTTTTTCCAACAGAGGGCTCCAGGCCCAACAACCCTGATGACACCGCCTGGAACATAGTAAGTCCTCAAGTATTTGTGACCTTGTTACAATCTCCCCTTTGCATGGCTTATAGTGCTGAGACTTAGGGAACAGGATAACCTGATGAAAAATAGAGCTGTTTTCTCCTGCTTCTGTCAAACCTTATTGCTCCAGTGAAATGAAAGGGGAGTATGAAGCTCTTTTTCTAAATTCTATGAACACTGTCCTTGTTAATGGCCTAGACTGGTCATCAGTTAGACAAACACTTTGCAATCACTTCACCTGCATTCCAAATTCCACTCAACTCACGTCCATGCTGTAGTCCATGATGTGGTGACGTGCTAGGTGGAAGAAGGAATGTGAGGCGCGGCTATCTCAACCCACCTGCTTTTCTTCAATCACTCAACTCCTCCCAGCAAAACAGGTATGCACCTACAGAAACTGAATAAATGCCATTTAAGCTATACCTCCGTAAACATCATCAACTATTGAGGCCTTTTTTTGTACTTAAAAATGCCTCAAAATAAATTCCATAAATTGCAGTGTTCTCTAAAGAAATACTCAGAAAAAAATGTAGACAGGCGTAGGCTCAAAGGACAATCTAAAATTTAACATCTGGCAATAATTCTGAACTTGCAGCCTTATTTTTTTCCCTCATTGTCCAGGAAACATGGTAAAAGAGGGCTGCATAGTTTCCCCAAACATTTTGGATATTTAATCTTCCAAAGCAGGCATCCCATGAGGAATTCTCACAATGCAACAAGATGTCTTACATCTATCAAAAACATTTTTTGACTTTTTGTGTTTCTCTCAAGCCCCTGATATAGCTAACTTTATCAGTTCTCTGAAATTCCAAAATTAAGTGCGAGACATTACCCACATTACATACGTAAGTCACTGAAATGCACAATTCTTAGATCTTGACAGGCAAAAACAGGGAATATTGTAACAGCCTGTGGGCCATGGTGTGGCTGCTGACATCCCATGTGAGAGAGGGCAGCACTTAGAGGGAAGGACACAAACCTGGGCCTGCTGTAAACATGAGGCTTGGAGTCTCTCTGGGCTTCACTCAAAAGAAGATGCAAAAAATTGTTCCCTTGTCCTTTGTTAAGTATTTTGTTCTGTGGAGACAACTCACTTCATACTTACGGCTTCTTCAGATGTATTTTTTTCTTAATCTTTCCTTGCCTTTTAAAAAATTTCCTTGAAGTTCATAAATTAAAATAAACATCATTAACTTATTGCAGAAATGAGGCTTTCTCAATATAAACAACTGCTTAGATATCTTAAAACCCTTCTAACACTGCATCTGACCGCATGGAAGGTGTGGACTTTTTCCACTTGTGCTGTACTATGTACATATGTGAGTATATATGTATATATATTTTTGTATATATAATGCTGTTTAACATGTAACATCCCATACTTCTGATATGGAAGAAGACACCTCACACTTCTGAGAAAAAAAAAAAAGGAAATAAATTCACTCCCGTGACTTTTCTTATCTGATGATGAAGTCAAGAACCATGATGGGTAGATTGGGTCTACTAAAAGCATGGCATATGCTGTTCTCACACTTTGTTTTCTTTTTTATCCATAAGAGTGATTTCTCTTTTAAGAGAGCAAAGTTTCAGATTTGGATTTCCTTTCCAAATTTTACTGAGAGGACTAATAGGAGAACCAACTTTAAAATTAAGGATTGTGGTAAAATTATCCTACCCAGAGATTTGCTAGTACAATGGATATAATCTTTATTCCCAAATAAAAGTTATAACTTACAAATATAAAAACAATTTTTAATAGGAAATATCCAGAGATTCTTGCTATGGTATGGTTAGCCCTTTTCTGTGTAGGAGAAAGGGTGTTTGTTTTAGATGGCTGTGGACAGCGTGCTTGAATAACCTCTCCAGGGAAGGTGACCCTGTTGCTGATGACTGGCTCTGGCACGGAGAGGAAAGGACAGAGGCTGTGTGAGGATGGAGACAGTTGTCAAGACACAGTATTTATAGTTTTGTAAACTCTAAAGAAGAAAATAAGAACACCCTTTATTACAATTGGGGTGAAAAAAAAGCCCCCTATCTAAAATGGAAAATTCCCATCTGCTATAAACAGAAGGAAACAAACGTCAACAAGAGTTCAATAGAAATTACTCAAGTCCAATTTCGATACACAGTTCTTATCTGTGTCCTTTGAAAAAGTATGTTCCCAAATCAGATTCGTTGTCCATCCAGAACCAGTCTTGGGTGATCAATGGGATACATTTTGCTTGGATCTTGGAATTCTCGTGTTTTCCTAAGGGACACGGGGACCAGGGTGGGATTTTTAAATGGGCAGATGAATCCCTGAACAATTCATCCTGATGATGTTCTATTGCACTCCCTGTGCTCCTATCACACACACTTGGTCTCTAGCTACTGAACCCCTGGGCCCATTCTCACTCACACACAATTCCTAATTTTCCTCCTCTAACAACTGCAGTGCTTTCAACTAGAGGAAAATAATAATAAAAATAGCAATAATTAAAAAGGTAATCTACATTATTAACTTCCTTTTGGTATATTACAGTGGTATTTTCTGTACATGGCCCAGAACTAAGTTCCCTATGTACACAGAGACATGGGGGGAAGCATCGACCTTCAAGTCTCAGCCTTATGCCCTGAAAGACGAAAGTTCCTTTCTTCATTCAAGAGTTCCTTGCCACACTGCCGTGTTGAAGTAGCAAACATTCTGTAAACCTGGTGGGGGTGGGTAAGGGCTGGGGCAGGAGAGCGGGGAAATTTCCTTCTGTCTCCTCCCATAGTCTGTCTATCCATGAAGCCCATCAGCAGCTGCTGTTTTTGAATTCACCATTCTCCGTGATGGAAAGTTTGGTGGGGTTGGTGGGGGAGATGCCATTGCGGACCTGCATGCTGTACCGCTCCTTCACTTGGGTCAGTGCGCTCATCAGTCTGGTGTTGGCAGAATCCAGGGACACGATCCGTTTTTCCTACAACACACCAATCACGCCTTTATTCAGGCTACATGCAGGAAATCACCCCTTCATACTCTTTTTTACCAAGAGACTGCTCTAATGCTTTCTGTCAAACAGCAGTATGTGTGATGCTTCCCAGACAAATGGAACGTCTCTGCCTCTTTCTGCACACGGTCCCATCTGGCCTCCGGAGCCCGGCAGAGCTGTTTGCTCTTTTAACTTTCGGCATAGTAGGTTTGTTAGTAATGATCCCTTGGGACACTAGGTCATGTACAATGACACCATGTGTTACTACCAACTAGCAACAGAGGTGTCAAGCTACCTTAGTATAATTAGTGCTTTTGGTCGAAATTAAAACACAGGAATTTGGTGGCAAAGAAAGAAGCACCAGAGGTTTCATTTCACACAGAAGTGCACGTGATCTATGGGTTCTCAGTCCCCAAAGAGCGCACATCAGTCACATTTGGAAAGAAGGCACATTGTGCTCAAAACTAAAACAATACATGGTGGCAGTTTATAGTCACCAACAAAGTGAGGATGCAACAGCAAAGGGTGGGGGAAGCAGCCACAAGCTCAGACCAAGGAATTATTTGAATATGGGAAGGGAGATGTGCTGAAAGGGGATGCCATAAACATAACACATGAAAACAAACAGAGAACACAAGCTCCTTGACTCATTCCAGCTCAGAGGTACTCCAGGGAAGCTACCCAAGGAGGAGACTGCTTTCATTTTAATTTTGAGTATCTGGGGAAAACAAAACAAAACAAAACAAAGCCTAACATTTTTGCAACCAAAGGTTGTTGAACAATCTCCCCTCCAGAAAAAAAAAAAAATGGTGGTGAGGGGAAAGGGCCAAAAAATCAACAATCTGAAGGAAAGCAGGCTCATCTAAATAAAAAAAGAGATCATCCCATTAAGATATTATTAATATACAAAGATTAGGCAAACCCTAATCTTAGCTTCAGCAGCTAGCTAAATCATTCCAGAAACTTCCCAATATGAAGTTATTTTTCAGGGCATAGTTAAGGTCAACAAGGACCATCTAACACATGCCCCTGAAACTAGAAAAGAGCACATGAGGAACGGTCCTCAAAGCTAAGAGGAGCTTTCCTATGCTGGAGTTTCTCCATTTATCCAGGGAAAGCACGGTGAGGCTGAGTCACCACAGGTTCAGAGAGGACTCGAAGGGCCGGGGCTCTGATGCTGCTCCTGGCCACCAAAGCAATGGCTCTGTACCATCATTGGGTAGGGACACATCTCAATCAAACATGCTCCAAGAGGATTCGGAGAGGAGGCCGCTGCTCAGGGGAGAATTCAGGTAAAAGCATATACAGCAATGAGCAATATTTCCCTTTAATTTCTGACTTTGGGGGTGGAGCAGGGATCTGGAGAAGCAGTGCTGGTGGTCATAGTTTCAAAAGCATGAACAAAAATAAGCTCCACTTGTTATTATCATTTACAAAAAGTCATCCTTTCCCGGATGGAAAATTCGGGTGGTAAGACACACAAAATCAGCATTATTAACTTACCACTCATCTATTAAAAAGATACCTTTTACTTTGGGAAGGTAACTTGTTTAAGGACAAACAAAGCTTAAAGAAAGCTCTGCAAGTCTTTAAAAAATAATTCTGAAAACTATAGTCAATGGGGGTGGGGCTTACTGAGGATTGTAATTATAGTTCTTTACAAAGCTAACAGATAAGAATTGGTAAGTGGTTACCAGAAAACAAGGGATGTTTCCTCTCCACGTTTTGGAATGCTCTCTGAACAGAAAAATGGGTATCTTCAGAAGTTATTAAAAAAAAAAAAAGAAAATAGTTTATTATCAGGATAAATTAAAGGTCCCAAATGCTATGGAATTCAGGATGGTCTAGGTTTCATTAAAAAACAGGCATTCACAAAAAATTATTTGATTTTAAAGGGTCAAAAAGAAGACTAAGAATGATTGCAATTATTTGCTGTCTGTAAGAAAAACTACTGAAGACAAGCAAACCCCCCTACTGAACAGTGACATTTTCCAAATGAAGAAACTCCCTTTTGTCATTCCCCCACTGACAACCTCTCAAAATAAAACAAAAAAGTAAATGAAAAATAATAAAATAGGGGCTTTGGAAAGTCAACTTCAGTTGGCAAAAGGTGCTCTCCTATTTCGATTCTGCCTGTATTGAAAGGCAAAGCAATCTAGTTCATGCCTGACAGAAAGGATTTCAAGTGTGGGGAATAGGAGCTGGAATGTGTAGGAGGCCAGTGCACTGGGCCAGGGCTGGGAACTGCTCAGCTAGAGAACGGACAGGTTTACTTGCCTGTTTGAATAATCTCATCTCCATTTATGACCTGTAATTTAACACAGCGGAGATATCACTTGCAACAGTAACTAGGCAGCTGCTTTGCTTCTCAAAGGAAGAAGCCCTTCTCTGTTCTCCATCTGAGACACATGGAGTGATTCTAGGGGTGGAAGGTGGCACCTGGACTGAGGGTTAACAAATGGTCCCGTGACACCTCCAGCAGGATCCCCATAGCTCTGCGACAAGGCCCCGGGCAGGTGATTCTGCCCACACCGGTGGAGCACTCATCCTCTCCCAGCTCCAGCTAGAAAGCCTGGTAGCACAAACTGACTCTAGGAAGATGCAGAGGCTAAGTGCCCTTTCCTACAGGGCACAGAGTTGCTGAGAGAGCTAAAAATCGCTCACTAGGCACCTGTCTGGCAATATTCTGGGAAATGTGGATCTCAACTCAGTTTAAAGAAAGCAAATGTATTTTTTATTCTTCTGTATTTCTGAAGCTATTTTTCACTACCAGTGATCCCAAGGCAGCTATCAGGGAGATCAAAATATGGGTTACCTTGCTGGGAGGCTTTCAACTCCAAATATACCTTCATCATTTGAATGATACCAGAGAGTTGCTCTGCTCCCTCAAACACTTAAGATCTAAGATTTGTCCTTACAAGGGAAAGGATCTTATACAAAAAGTTATTCACTACAAAGGATGCCAAAGGATATTCAAGTCATTTGCTATAATAAGATTTCAATGTTTCAGTAAGATGACAGCTGGAGCTGGGGAACCTTCCTTTTAAGGAGACTATAATCTTCTAAAAAAACTATCTTTAGTGTTTATGATTTGTGCTATGCTTGGTGCATTGGATTTCAAAATGAGGTACAGAAGATCTTCTGAAAAATTTTTTAGGGTCCCAAAGTGGACTTCTGGCAGTCATTTAATATATAGTAATGCCTATGTTTGAATAAGTAGTTTATTCTATTTAGACAATCTTAGTATTATTTGATTCATTACTTGAGAATGGCTCTTGTAGAGGAGTGGTCAGTAAGGAACCCTTGGTAATTTATCTTCACAGGTTTATTTATTATTTACTTATGGAAGTAAATAATTTATATGGAAGATGTCTCTGGTTCCACCAGTATAGTCCAGAAACAAATCATCTGAAAACCACTGCCTTAAAATATAGACCCAAAATGGTATCTAGTTTAGCCAGGCCACAAATCTGACACTGGCTGATTCTTTGAGGGAATGCTGACACCCTCTGGGTTAACAGAGAGAATGTCCTTGCTTTCCAGAGCTTTTGGCCCTGATGAATCAAGGTTTTCCCTCTCTTGCTTTCCCTTCTGTGATGATGATGATGTGATGATGACACCTCAGTCACCTTGCAGTTGACAGCAAAATAGGGTAGGGGTGGGTTTGAAATCTTCCGAAGCTAATGATGATGCTATCCTGACAGGTACTGAGAAGGAAACACTGCAGGCACTAGACACAAGCTCACTCTGTTTAAGATGGACAGTTTTAAAACAATGTTTTATATTGTTAATTTGAAAATCTAAAAGTGAAAACTTATCAATATCTACTTTCCTTGACTAAATTGCCTTCTTTATCCAGGTTGATTCTTTTAAGCCTTGAATGAATTTTTAAAGTATGTATATAGTGACATGGCCTTATTATCTGTTGCCCTTTCTCACTCAATTTGGGGACAAAGAGAGCGATTTTAAAAATGGTCTCAGTAAGGTAATTACAGTGATCTTTATTCTTTTGATTCTTAGGAATTCTAAATATCCTGAAACTACAGAGTTCAAGAGCCCAATATATTCTGGGGAACTCTGCCAATGAGCGCACCATTGACTTCACTCGACTTCCAAGTCCAGAGAGTCTGAAGTAGAGTATGAACCCCATGGAGCATTCTTCCTATGGCTAAACTTTCAAGCTGACTCCCAATCCTTTGAAGAATAACCCCCCTCCTGCATTAACCAGGTGAGAAAATGAGACTAGTGGTCTAAGTGCACGTTTAAGAACATGGAGGATTCCAACATAACATGATGACTGGCTAACAGAGAAGAAGTAGAGCATAAAGTCTTTGCTCCCATGTTTATTTCATAGCTTAGGGATGTGGTATGATATTTAGTAGTATGAGATGCAAACCTGATTGGCTTATCTCAGGGAGGTGATACATTCAGTAGCTAGACTGGCCACATCAGTACTGCCCCTGCTTTTGTTATTTGTTTCTAAGAAATATAACCATGTGCGCATTGGTAAAAGTAATTAGAAACATTTCCTGTCTCCTGAATTGACTCTGATCATTGACATGTCCCCATGAGCAGCTCTTGATAGTCATCACCCCATCAGTGTCCCATGCATAAGCTACATTTGAGCAGAGAGCCCAGGTTTTAATTTCATCAGCATTTTCTTGTTTTGAGTTCCATCGAAAGAGGCTCTCTTTAAGCATAGTGCCAACAAAGAAAGGCAGCCAAGCAAATTCCAAGCATCACTGCCAAACCCTGAAACCAAAAGGATAACATGGAAAGATAATTTCTACAGCCCCATCTTCCCCATAGTTCCCCTACTGTCTGGGGCTAGAGGCTGATGGCACAGTGGACGTGACTGACAAGACCGTGAACATCACAGCCAAGCAATGGTCAGTGGAGGTCACAAGCCAGACACATGCAGTGTACTTTTCACAGTTACCCTTTCAGAGAAAGTCCTCCTTTCCATGAGGAAAGAAGTAAACCCCATCATGCACTAGGTTTAGATTTGTCAAGCAACTGCACTAAGCACACTAATACTTTGCTGGTTTAACAGACTTGTCACCAGTAAGTAAAAGGAAAAGTAACAGAGGTCACATCTTAATCTTTAAAAGTTAATGCCCAAAATTGTCCAGTAGGCGCCCTGGCATTTGCAAGGGGTGGGAAGTCAGGAAATAGATGTTCTATAAACAAGTGTGTTCTACTAAATCCAGAGCCTGCTTACCTGGGCATCAATTATTTTCTGCTTTGCATCAATAACTGCTTGCATCTCAGCATGATCCTTTTTCAATTCCTCTTCCACAGCCATTAGCCTAGAAAATGTGTCAGAAAGGAAAGAATAACATCTTCAAAGAGAGGGCTAGCTAGAGTAGAGAAGGAGGAACTCAAAACTTGTGGTAGTCCAGTATTTCCACTACTTCCCAAGAACATATCTGAAGCTGAATCCTATGCATTTTCAGCTCTTCAGGAACAGTACTTCTAGAGTCACTTCCTGCCTCTCCTCCATCAGATCTCCTCTCCTGACCTGCCCGCTGCTCCCCTCGGCAGTGTACTTCGTGGATCTGCCTGTTCTGCTCCCCACTCTGTCTCTGGTGAAGCCTCTCGCTGCCCCTGAGCCTCTGGCCTGTACCTCAGTTCTGTATGCACAAATAAATAAATCTTTTAAAAAATAACAATAATAAAAAAAAACATACTCTATACTTATTAGGTCTCCTTTCTTTTTCATCTACTGTTCATATCATCAGCATTTGATGTTTAACTCCCTGAACCTGTTCTCTCTGAAATTGCTAATTACCTCCACACTCCTAAGACAATAAGCCTTTCTGTTTTCAATTTACTTGACCTGCACAAAGCCACTGGACAAGAGAACTGTCAAAAAAATACTGGAGCACAGTACTTATGAGCATGGACTCTGGAGCTTCATAGTCTGGCTCCAAATCCCGGCTACATCACTAAATGACCTTGGGAAAGTGACGTAATGAATTTGTTGGCCTGTTTTTCTATTTGTAAAATGAGAATAACAATGCCTATTACAAAAGTTGACATTAAACAATTATTATTACCAGATCAAATAAATTATTATTGTAAAGTACTTAAGAAAGGACTTGCCTCGAGTAAACACGCTCCCTTTGGCTCCCTTGGTATCCCTGACACACTCTCTTAGTTCTTTGGCACAAAAGAAAGCCAACAAAACTCCCTTCACATCTCTGGACTCACTAGTTAAGTTAGTCTTGCACCAGATGTAATAACTTAAATTTTGCAAACCCAGTTCTCTACTACTTCTCGAGTAAGTCACTAAGTTTTTACTGTTTCTAATTGCTATGAGGAAAGGAAAGAAGACTACTTCTATTTTCCAAGGAAGTGCAAGAAGGCCTCACATTTAGAAAATTGTGAGATATAGCCAGTCTCACATTTGTGCCACTACCAAAGCGTATCCAGAGTTGAAAATGGTTCTTGCTACCATTCCTTTACAACTCTTTATCACCTTCTCACTTCCTTGTACCCCAAAGTTGCCCACACACACCACTGCATGACCCTCGAACCTGCTGATGATGCTCTTCATCTGGCTGTCTTTCTCCTCCTGCTGCCTACGCAGCCGCTCCTCACTATCCTCCAGGCGGGCTTTGTACTCCAGCAGAAGCTTCTGCATCTGCTGCTCCTGCACCAGCAGCCGGCGTTCATACTCCTCCAGCCGCCGGCTGGACACTCGCAGGCGCTCCTTCAGCTTTGTGATTTCTTGCTCATACTAGAACAGAGGAGAAGGGGCAACAAAAACAAGGAGAGAAAACTGGAGTTACACTGGCTTTGAAATGGGTGAGTTACTTTTACTGTAAAAAACCCTAAGCAATGTAGCTGGAGGCTGTCGAGCTGCCATTCCACACGCTGCTAATGTTCTTTAAAACTATCAACAGGCATAATGTTAAGGGAGATCTGCCTGCCTCCTAAAATTACATATTTAATCTTAACTTGGCATTCCAAATATATATTTATGTCTCTCTCTCTACATTAAACTACCAGTTGGCTGCAAGTCACATCCAATCTGTGATTATATCGAATGGGAGCAAGGAAAAAAAAGATCAAACACTCAGAAACAACAAATCACTTAAAATAAGCTGAAAGCCAATTGTTTACTAGAGAAAAAAATTCTGTATTATCATCTATACTGTAGGATTTCTGACATATCTTGGTTCCTTCACTCTACCTGAATCAACCTTTGAGAGAACAGGCAAATTAATGTTAAGCCACTAACTCAATACATAGAATTTTAGGGGAGAGCAGGCTATAGCTGTTTTCCCACAAACTATGAAATATTCACGTCACAAGCATGAAGCAAAGACCTACAAGCTCTCAGGGCTGATTAATATTGTCATTTGGCCCATTTTTATGATCTGCCTGATTTGGTACTGCTTGCTGGAACAGATGCTTGTTTTCTCACTACAGCTTTATATAAACTTATATAAGCTAACATTTTATAAGAAATTTTCACTGAAGTTTTATATAATTTAGTGTTTTCGGGGCCCTTTCTGGTATTGAAGTTGCTGTATTTGGGGCCTGAGTATACTAGAATATCAATTTTTCTAGGTGAATGGAAAAACATAAGCTTTCTTGTGATGGTCTCCTTAATTCCCCTAGGAATTAATGGCAAATCTGTATGCTGCTTTGTAAAATGCAATCTATTTTCACATTATCTTATTCAATTGACAAGTTGACAGCTAGCTCTACATATTCAAAACCATGGTCCTAAACTATGCCTACTAATCCAGAAAGTCAAAAGTGACAATTTTTATGAGCTTCAGTAGGTAGACTATATCAATAAGCAAAGTTCAGCATTATGCTGATAATAGAAGTGTGTTGTCTGGTTATAAATAAAATGACATAATGCCATATATGTCAAAATTCTTGCTTGATAATCCTTTTTGAGGTCAATTTTACATTTTTTAAAAACAAATGAAACAACAGTGTCTTTTAAAACATATCTGTAGGGCTAGCAGTTCTCTAACGTTTTAGATGGATATGTAGATGATGGTTAACACAAGGATGGAGCTGAAGTTGAAGGGAGAGAAATGCTTTTGGGCCAGGCAGCCTTTTTGGTGACCTTTTGCTGTCAGAGGAATAAGTCAGTATAGACATTAGGTTCTACCTTTTCAGCATGCTTGGCTTCATCTTGATTTTGTTCAGTTTCTTCCACATCCTCTTCATACTGCCCATTGTTTAGAACCCAAGCTGCTGTCCTCTCTACGGGGGACATTGTGGCGGAGTCCACAGGTGACTGAACCTGCATTAGAAATACTTAGTAGCATTTTTCAAAACACCTCACCCACTAGTTATGTTTTACAAAGGGATCTATTCTTAGAATAGCTCTTCAATTTTTTCATAAAATGCTCTTCAGTCTAAGAAATATTTTAGATATGTCAAGGTTGGGTGGGGAAATAAATCATTTGTGTAAGAATAAACTAATCAGAATATCTGTTAAACTGTATCAACCCAAAAAACTCCAATTTTTACCCTCCAAAGGCAGTCAACAGGCTTAAAATTAATCATTTGTCCAGTGGTTCACTGGACAAATTATTTATTTAAATAATTGGTTCAAATTATTTAATAAAATTATGATGTCAGAAAGAGAAAAGAAAGCACAACTGATGATTGATTGCTCAGGTAAGGGCATGTCTGTTTCACCCAGAGATGACTAGGAACAAGGAACTGATTAATGCTGACATCTTCAAAAGACGGCTCTTTATATATCACAAAATCAGCTCCTTAATTTTCACATTAATATTTTAGAGACAAGCACGTGTAATTGGTCATTTTTACAGAGCAATGACTTGATGGAGTAAGACCACTCAGAAGTACATGTTTCAGAACAGTTTCTTTTCTTTTTTTAAAAAGATTTATTTTTAATTATTTACACATAGACAAAATGGGGTGTCGGGCAGAGGTGTGTATGTGAGGGTGAGAGGATTCAGTAGAGACAGAATGGGGAGCAGAATAGGCAGATCTACTGAAATACATGGCTGAGGAGAGGACTGCTGCACCATGTGGGTCAGCTCCATGGCTGGGGTCAGAACTCATGCCACAGTGGCTGGCAATAGCTTGACAGCACTGAGATTTTAACCTCTGCATGACCAGGGAGGCCCTAGAACAATTTCTTGAAAGGACACAGGGTCAATACAAAGGAGACTAGATAGTCTAAGATATATTTCTATTCAATTAGGATAGTTAAGTAAACTGTCCTTTCCAAGCAATTAAGAATTCATAGTTTTAAGAATTCTGTAAGGTGATAAGAATTCTGGTCTTGAATAGCCACACTGCCCTTTAAATTAAATCACCTAATCTCTTAAATACTCTTTTCTTAATCTACTGAAAAAGGACACTACCACTATCACCATCATCTTCTGTTCTGAGCATCTTCTAGGGGGTTGTATAAATTGAGTAAGATAATGTATGTGAAAGGCCTTTGGTAAATACAGAGTACCACTAGTACCACTGTGCTAAGATGTTATTATTAGAATATTACACTGGATATTACAATTATGTTAGACCACTGGACATTAGTGCTTTCTCTACAAACATATTGTGCTGGAAATGTACATCTTATCCCCCTTCTCCCTCAATGCTGGTCTGCCTGAAGGAGGAAATAAAGCCTACTTTGAGAACCAATACTTTATAGAATCTCACAATCGAACAGAATTTTCACTTTCATGCAAAGCAGTACATATCATTCTGGAATAGTACCCAGTTAAACTCTAAATAAATAGAAATTTGAGGAAATGTATTTGCTGACTTTGAGTCTTAGAAAAACTAGATTAAAAGATTTTCTGCAGAAACTAACAGGCTATCAAAAATTGGCTGGGAGAGACTTTAAAAAAATATACATACAGAGGGTAATTAAAGGTTTGAAGAACTTGATTTTGATTGATTTACAAACATATTACAGAATATATCAACAAAAAGTAGCTGCATGCCTGAGACTCACACACATAATTGTGAATGAATTTATAGAAATTCTTTATGTAAAACATTTTCTCTATTGCATTGTAACACATGTAAACATGAGAGTTCTTCAAAGCCCATTTTCATCTCTACTAGGTGTCTTTCTTACACTTCATTCATATGTTATTTTCATTATTTTTGTTACAGCCACCTTATTGCTTATCATTGATACATTACTATCTTTTAAAAACTATCTTTTTTCCAGTTAGCTAAAATCTTACACTAAATAAGATGCGTTAGACAGACTTGGTAGCACATGTGATTCACTCAAACTGCCAAGGGAATTTGGAAAGATGGGGAAAGGATGAGAGAATATCATTGGAACTTTTCTCCCCCCCCGCTCCCCCACAAAGTTAGCCCACTACATCTAGAAATAAAGGAGGAAAAGACTGAAGACAAGAAGCCAGGAGAATGTTCTGACATCGGAGGGGTCTGGACAATGAAAGGTGGGTAAGCAGGACCTCCCCACAGACATATAGTGCTGGGTGCGGGCCCCTTTATTGTAATGCTTCCTCTCACGCCCTCCTGGAGACCTGCAGGGCCCTTAACCAGTGGATGGCACTTAAGTGGGAAGGACACCAGGGGGAGCCTAACAGGGCTGGTCCCCACACTGGGGGCTTCCTGGTAATCAGTCAGGTAAGGGAGGCTGCAGGAGCACCATCACCCACCTAACTACTTCACAGGTCAGAGATATCCTGATCTTCCCACACCCAGTTACAGTTCATTCTGTGCCCTTTTGTGCTTTCTTTCTTCCCTCTCTTTACCTACCCTCCCTGAGTAGTCTCCAGTGGACCAGACTAAAACAGCAATGACTACTTTACTGGGAGCCATTAGAGTCTGGAGAAACTCCTACCCCACTTGTTTATCAGTCAGTTGTTTGTCTGTTATTCATTTCCCTCCCCATTATTTCTGTTTTCTGAATCTTTTATTTTCTTCTTTCTCCCCTTCAACATAACTATCATTACTTTCTCTTCTTTGGTTACATTCCTTCCCCTTATCCTACTCTTTCTTCTTCACCTATGTAGTCCCTTTCTTCTTTTCTCACTTTTATTCCTTCTATATTTCCATATCCTCCTCTTTTCTCTAATCCCTTCTTTCTCTCCTTATTCTCTCTTGATCCCAGAATTCTCCTGAGACAAGCCTAGAGATACCTAGCAGTCCAATAGAGAAATACATTGCACCCAGACTGCAGGTACCACCCAGTGGACTTAGCCTCAGTGTGTTTGGAGGTGTGCAATAGTCCACACAAGATTCTTGACTACCATAGGATGAGATGTTGGATCCCATCCTATGCAGTGAGGGTCAGAAAAGAGGGAATCCTGGTGCAAAGCATAGCTCAGAACAATACCTGTCAAAATAGAAGAGTGTCTGGATGTGTAACCAGATAAGATACTAGGCAGACACATCCATGCGTGAGCAAGAGAAATCAGAAGTCATGCCCACCAGTCCCAGCAGTACAGGGGTACTATGAACAGAACAAAGCTGAAGGCTAACAACAGGAAGAAAGAAAATTACAAATGATTAAGTAGGCCCTTCTGGAAACAATACACCATAGAAAGAAAAGTCAACCTCCAGAACTCAAGAGCACGAACATGGAGGAATATCTCCACCAAGACAGGCAAAGAATTAAAAAAGGCCATGATGAAAATACCTAAAGAGTTAAAAGAAAATGCAGAAAGAGATAAGAATCAATGAACTGAGGATGAAAGTGAAGGAAATGGAGGATATCCAGAGATTAGCAGAGGAGCTTAAGAATTTGGGGAAAAGCCATGAAAATGAATGGAAGAAATGGAAGAACAAATCAGTACTCTTGAAGATACAGGCATAAAAAGAACCAAAAGAGAAAAGGAAGAAGTACAAAGGAAAAAGAATGAAGAAACACTTTGAGAACTATGACACCATGAAGAAAGGAAATGTAAGAGTCAAGGGAATCCCAGGAGGTGAGCAAAGAGACAGAGGAACCAAGAAATGTATTCAAGGAGATAATTGAAATAATTATAATTCTCAAGCATGCAGCAGCAAATGAAAATAGACATACAAGAAGCTAGAACACCAAATTACCACAATGAAAGGAAAACAATGGCAAAACACATAATAAAGTCTCCAAAGGTCCAAGACAAGGAAAAAAAATAATGAAACTGATGAGGGCAAAGAAACAGATAACCTATAAAGGAAAACCAACTAGGCTGACATCAGACTTCTCTGAAGATTCACTATGGCCCAGAAGAGAATGGAGTGACATATTTAACAAATTCCAAACAAGATTATTCTACCCCGCAAAGTACTCCTTCCTCTATGAAGGAAAAATAAAAACCTTCTCAGATAAACAGAATCTCCAGAAATTCATTACTACAAAGCCCCACTCCAAAAAATATTACAAGAAACCCTAAAGCCAAAACCAGCAAAGGAATGAATAAGAACAACAGGATAAGGTAAGGAGTTGAATCACAAAAAGCAAACAAAATGGCTAATATGGATGTCAATGTATCAGTATTAACTCTAAATGTAAATGGACTAAAATCATCAATAGAAAGACAGAGTTGCAGGCTGGATTAAAAAACAGAACCTAACCTTTTGCTGTCTACAGGAAACATAATTAACTACAAAAGATAGATTGAATGTAAAAGGTTGGAAAACAATTAAAAGGTTGGAAAACAATCCTACAAGCAAATAGATCAAAAAAGAAGGCAGAAATAGTTATATCAGATATAATAAACCTCAAAGTAAAGAGATATAAATGGTCATTACATTATGATTAAGGAGACAATATATCAGGAAGACACAGCAATCATCAACATATGCTCACCAATTGAAGGAACACCAAAATATATCAATTATTAACATCTCTGAAAACAGACATTACAGAAAATACATATATAGTAGCAGACTTCAACATACCACTCTTACCAAAGGACA